GGAGGGAGGGAGGGAGGGAGGGAGGGAGAGGAGCTGGTGTTAACCCACCTGGAAGCTGTTGTAGATGTGGCCTCGCTCCTCCAGCTGCTTCCTTCGGTTCCTTCTGGCTGGCTATGGCTGAAGACGACGCAGGGGGCTGCTCGTGCTCCTCTGCAGATGAAAAGACGACGACTGCGACGGCGAAGGGCAAAAACGGAGGCCAAGAAGGAGGGCATACTGCTGGGGAACAAAGGTGGACTACCGGAGTATCCCCAGCCAGAGTGGGGTAGGTCTGAGTAGTTCGAATTCGAACTACTCGGAACTACTCAGATCTCCTGTTTTTTCTTCCTTCGGAGAACGTGCGCGGCCTTAAAAAAAAATAAAAAAATCCACCCCACTGGTTCATGCGACTTCAGAATCGGACCTAGACCCTCACCCCGGAACTTTTTTTTTTCGGTGACCCCTCAATTTTGACATGCGCCGCATCCAGTGTGCACGCGGCTTGCGCGATGTGGTGCACGTGCGCAGTGCAGTGCATGTCAATGCGCCATATGTATCGTTTGAATGCTGATGGAATCAAATGGATGCAACAAAGTTAGGGGCTGCCCCCGGAAAAAGAAAAGAGAGAGGAAATATATTTTCCCCCGGAAAAAGAAAAGAGAGAGGAAATATATGTTATGAATTTCAAGAATTTCAAGTGCTTCCATCCATCATTTCACTTATCCACCTGATGGAGAGTCAGTATAAGAGATGATAACACTTGATTGCAACTCCACAGAAAATCGGAATTGAACAATCACTGCCAAATTCTTGATGAAACCAGAAACAGGTGATGTAGAAGTGAGCGCCTGCCTCCCTGAGCAACATTCAACAATCTGCTGAAAAAACTGTCCAGTGAAAGGCAAGTTCTTACTGGCGATGGCTGCATTCTCACCTCTAGTCTCACCAAGCAGCAGAAATATCACGAATATCACAAATGAATTCTAAATGAGGGTTTTGCCCCAACTCGTCGCTTTTGAGGAGCTGCTACTTGCCTAGGCCTACAGTGTCTGCCTACCAAAAGAAAAGCCTAAAACTACCAGGCCAAAATGTCCTACCAATATGCTAGACAAACAGACACTGTACCCACAGGTCCTGGGTTCAAACTCGCCAGCTTCAAAATAATGAAAAAAACGATACAACTGCGCGATTCCAGGTTCAAATCCTGTCAAGAACAAACGAGAGAGAGAGAGAGAGAGAGAGAGAGAGAGAGAGAGAGAGAGAGAGAGAGA